AGCACCTGACGCCCAAGTCAGTTTGTTTGAGATCCCAGAGCAGGCAGAGCTGGGCCAGACTACATGGCTTCCTGGTGAGTGGGGCGTGGAATGGCCTGGAAAGAGATCCCAGAGAACATTCTCTGGGATGGAAATCTGTCTCCTCTTTTAGGTGCTAGATACCTGATTGTATACAGTTGTCAGAATGCGTTGAACTGAATACTTAGGATGTGTGTTTTGTTTTATGTAAACTGAAGCTCAACCCTTGGACTTAAAAGACTGTCATGAGTTTGCTTTTCACATACAATAATTGCTGTAAGGTGCAGCCCTGTAAAATTCCACACGCCTTGGGGATAACGAGGGAGATGGTCATTACTGATGTTCGGAGAACGTTGCAGCAACCCCAGCCATCGGACACTCCCTACCCCAGAGACCGAGGGCAGCTGTGCAGACTGCCGACCTTCTCCATGACAGGAGCCACGTTTGGGACACAGTTGGCAGTCATCCTTGTGCAAGTTTCTGCTGAGACTCAGCTAGGCCCTGACACCTGCTGGCAGAGTGGCGAGGGCACGCACATCCGAGTCCGCTTCAGGGCACAGCTGCTTGCTGCTGCAGTGTTCAGGTCACACCTGGATCTCAGGCTGGCCATCAGCTCTGTCTCCCATTCTGAGGCTCAGGCTTCTGTCTGATGGAAGGAAATTTCCCAGCTGAGATGAGGCTTTGACCAGAAAGCTCAGCGAGTCTGCACTTGGATCTCTGCTCTTCCCCTGGAGGCCCGAGGGCTGCTTGGAGTGGGTGATTGGAAGAGCTGTTGCCTTGTTAGCATGCACCACTCGTGCATGTCCCAGAGACTCTGCAACCCAGAGAGGACTGAAAGGTTAGCAAAGAAGAGCAGGGAGCTCAGTCACCAAGGGAAAAATGAAACTTTGAAGTCAGGGGCTCTTTCTTGGAGTCAGATTGCCTCCAGTAAAATCATATTACATATAATGAAATAAATGTTGGAATGCAACATGCCCTGTGAAGACCTAAATCAAGCAGATGTCATTGTCGTTTCCTTGGCTAGCCTGCCACGTCCTGGGATCCCCACTCCACAAGGAGAGCAATTATCCTAATTTGTTTTATTGCATTAGCGTGGGCAGAGCTGAAGAAAGGGGCTTTCTTCCTTCCTGCAGGAGCGCCTTGGAGGCCAGACCTCGGACTCCAGCCCCAGGGTGGCATGGGAATTTCTGGGAAACTTGTCTGCAGTACTCTGACCTCTGGCCCCCAGCTGCAGCCCCCTGCTAAGCACAGGCTCCCAGGCTTGGCCCTTCAGCACCCTCTTTGTGCCTCTATTTCCAGCCTCAGACCCACCCCTTTCCAGTGACCTATAAAGACGTCGAATCCTAAATGCCTCTGAAGACCTGTGACAATTCCTTCCACCCACTCCATGCAGCCCCGCTTCAAAGTCTGTCACAGACAGGTGTCACCATAGTAATTTCCAAAAGATCTTTAGGATTTAGAGAGGGCAAAATACAACTCCACAAAAAAAAAAACAGCCCTAGTGATTTTTCTCCCCAACCACGTATTTCAGCCCAAATGATGTCCTATAACTTACCAGTACTTAACTGTATGCACATATGCTTGCCGTTTGTGGGGGGGGTCACATGGTACATTTCTGTTTCATCACACCTTGGGGTCAGAAAGTATTGACACCAGCAAACTGACACTGGAGAGTAAGTAACAGGGCCAAGTGGCGACACTAGGTTGGCTGGGGCCCTTCAAATATGGAGACAAGTTGGTTGTCATCATGCCCACTAACATAACTTACAGGATGCTAAGCAGTGAACTGCAAATGCAGCAGTTGCCACACGCCCTAAAAAATGGGGTTCCCCTCTGCCTGCTCAAGGAGCACATGGGGTCCTGTGGGCCTAGCTCAGCTCCCAGAGGAGAGAAGCAGTCAGGGCAGAGCCCGGGGTACCTCGGCCTCCACCAGCCCCAACACGCCCCCCCATTGCCCCTGACTGGCATCCCAGACCTCCATGCCTACTCATGAGGGCAATGGCCTGTCCTCCTGCACTTGGAAAACACTCATTATCACTCAGGGCTCCAGGGTCCACAGAGCTTCTCCTTTGTGGAAAAGGAACAGTCAGAGGACTAGCCCCTGTGTTCGCAGATGGAGGAGGAGTGTCTGGAGCAGGGCAGGGACTCCGACGAGAGAACCAGTGTATGCTTAAAATGGGGTGCTGCAGACAGCTCTCCACGGTGGCACGGGTGCCTCTGAGGAAAGGGGGCTGCCTCCCCTGGCGTTCACAGGCCGTCACTTTTCGCTGGGCGTCAGGCCTGCGGAGCACCCCCCACACACACACACCCGTCAGGTGTGAAGGGACTTGCACGGTGTTACAGAAATGGATGTTCTGCGGCGCGAAGCCTTGGATTTTCCAGTTTCCAAATGGGAGTTTTTAAGACACGTGTCCTGGGACCTGTGAGCTTCAGAGAGGAGCCGGGTGCTTGCCTTTATGTTCCTGCCTCCCACTCACTGCTTGTAAGGCCTGGGGCTTCCTCAGTCACCCTGGAATGTTCCATCATCCTGGCACTCTCCCGTTCCCAAGCAGAGAGCAGGGGTTGTATGGACATCTGTGGGTCACTTGGCTTTCTTTGGGTCTGGCGTATTACTGGCCTGTCTGTGCCATTTTTTCAGAATTAATTTGGGGCTGCAAAAGGATCAAAGAAGGCTTTGTTCTTTTGACACTTACTCTGGAAGAAAAAAAAATCCGTGGAAAATCTGACATCTGCATTGTAGGGAGAAATCAGTAGATGGGGAGGAATATAATTATCCTCCGCTCCTGAAAGAATGTCTCAGATTTTTAAGTGTCTCATATCAGCTTAGAATTTGAGTGACATTTTAATTATTTTGTTTTTTTTCTTCTTCGCCTGGTTTGAATCTCCAAAGAGTACCACTCTCGCATTCTGAAGGGATGCAGGGAGTGGAGCGGCACTCACAAGGGAGCCTCGTGTAGCCCCGTGGCTGAGGTTGTCTGCAGAACGAGGGGCACATTTTCATCAGAAATCAGCAGTTCTTCTGCTGGCAGTATGGGCTCGCTCAGGTCTGGGTCATCAGGAAACGTTTGACTTTCTGAAGCGCTATATTCACACAATCATGACCGTGGCCAAATTCAGACTGGAAGTTGTCTATCTGGCACTTTGTGATCTAAGCAAACCCAGTTTCTAGAAAAACATAACTCTCCACTTCTCAAAATGATTCATCCAAGAGTCTTTATACTTGGAGTGCAACCACAGCTCTGTGACGTTGGGGGTGGCCTGTGCGGCTGAGGGCCAGGTGAGTTCGGCCTGGCCAGGCTGTGAGACTCCAGTGAGGTGGCTGCGGAAGCAGGAAGTAGCTTCTCCAGAACCAGCTTCAGAATAGCCTTTGGGTCTTCATGGCACTCAGAAAATTGAGTGCTGCGGTCCCTTTGGGATGCGTTTGTAAACTGCTATTAGGTGCATGTTTAGCTCAGTCCAGCCCATGTGCACTGCTCTGTCATCTGGCCTTACTGTGGAAGCCACGTGGCCTAAACATGTCGCTCTGTATCTCTTCTCCTTACTCCTTTGGGTGTCGCTGCATCCAAGCCGCCAGGGGCCCAGGCTAGAGGTCTTAGCTGCTTCCCACTCCAATCCCTTGGCCCATCCTGTGGGCTCCACATTCCAGACACGTCTGGAATCGGACACACCTCACATCCTGGATGGTCATTCTGCCTTGCTGGCTACGTGGCCACCAGAAGACCCATCAACTCACACTGTCCCGTCTCTGGCTCAGAGCCCTCAGCCACCCCAAAGTCTTTCTCATGTGTAAAGGTCAGTTTTATGTATCATCTTGGCTGGGCCACCACCCCAGTTATTCAACCAAACACCGATCTCGGTGCTGCAGCAAGGGTGTTTCACAGAGGTTATTAAAGTTCATGGTCAGTTGACTTTAGTGAGGAAGACTATCCTGGACAGCCTGAGTGGATGGTGGATGGGTGGGTGGGTGCATAGTTAGATGGGGGATGAGTGGATGGGCGCATGGATGGATGAAACGGCTGTAGTCATAGCTGCAGAAACCACTCAGGAGGGAAAGCCGAGCTGTGTTCCAGGGTGGTTTCTTTATCGGTGCAGTTTCTTTCTCACTTTCTAATCCAGCTATTATGTAAGAGACAAATCGAAAATAAATCTCTGCAACTCAAGAGATATTTTTATTCCTGGCATGGGAACAGTTGGTTTCCGACTTATGAAGAAATCGTGTGCAGAGAGAGTGGATGGACAGGGTGCATCTGACAGGCATGTTGACCGTCCTCCCTGTGACAGCAGACCAGCCGTGCTGTGGACACTGTGTGGCGTCCCGGAAGCTGCACGGGGGGAGCCGACTGTGCAGCTCACCCGAGAAGCTCACCCACAGGCTCTTTGGCGGAGGCCCCTCTCTCTGTAGCTTCTTTCCCAGGGGACCAGGCAGCAAAGCAGCTCCCTGGAGACACTCTCAGGCCTGAGCACCGGGGCTATGCTGGGTGCTGTGAGACGGTAGCGACCATCCCAGGAGATGGGTAAACATTTTCATCCAGCTCACCTGAGCTGCTAAATGGTGCGTCATCGTAGCAATTTCAACATCGTCCCTTTCACGTCCTCCTTGGCATCTATGCAAGTATAAGTAAGGTTGTGTGTGTGTAGCTTTGCCAATTTGTTCATTTTTAAAGCCTCACAATTGCACTATTGAGATGATGCTCACATTCTAAAAACTGAGTTTTAAAGCGCAGAAGGAACTGACTTTATAACAAGGAAGCCAGTGTTTCTTTTTACCTGTAGCATTTGCTAACTTTTCATCATTAAAGCCCCGAATGTGCCTTTGTGAAACACTGTTTCAATCTTACCCTTTACGTCTCTTCAAGGTATAAGATAAAATCCGTCATCGCTCCCTTAAAGTTCCTTTCAGTGCAGGTTCTGCCCCTGACAGCGGTTCCCTTGCCATTCTGGGAAATGGTTCACGTGGCTTCCTCTCTGTCTCGCCTTGGCAGGGCCTGATCAAGATCCGGGGGGACCGATGCTGGCAGGACCTCACCTGCATGGACTTCCACTACGAGGTGAGTAGCTTGGTGACACGGTGATGCGATGAGGCAGACTTCAGCTCATTTGGATGTGCCCTCCTGCTTCCTTTCTCTGGGAGGCAGAGTATCCCGCTTGCTAGGGCTGGCAGAATGGGACAATGGCCACTGTGGTTGTGGGTCCGGTGGTTCCTTCTAATTATGGGCGCTGGGTCCCTCTGCTGCTGTCCACGGTCCTGCCCAGGCCCTGGATATCAGAACAGGTACCTTCCCTCCTAGAGTCTCAGCTGGCCCTTCCTGCCCCCAGGGCAGGTGCAGAGTTGAGGACTGCTCTGCCCTGTACCCAGCCCCCAGCCATGGCAGACATGGGTGCAGGAATTTCCCAGCTCCCTGGGGTACAGGCGCCCCAGTCTTCCTGTGTCCGGATCCCCAAGGCCCCCTCCCTGCCTCCACCCAGGGCTTTGGGCACACTCCCCCCATCTCAGGACCTGGGCCCAGGTCTAAGTCCCTCCAGACACTCCTGTCCCTGCTGACTGCTGGCCTATTTGTGGGGAGCTGGGACTGCATTTTCCTGTGAATTAACCTGAGGGCATTTGGCATTGAAACATCATTTGTTTTCTCAGTAACATTGGCTCATCCCAAGTACAGAACACATTCCTGTCGGGTGCCCATTCTCACGTTGGGCCCACGTCCCTCTTGTTGGCAGTAAAAACCTTGACACGCCTGGAGCGCCACCTGTCAGGATGTTTTCTTCCATGTTCTCCACTCATTGCTTGTGGCCCGAATGGAATATGGGGAAAGCGGTTTTTATCTGCTCTTCTTCTGAAAGGTGGCTTGTAGACAATCTTACACATTCTGTGACTAGTCCCGAGTGTGTTTGGTGCTTGATGTTGCTTCTCAGGCCTGGGGTCATGCCCCCTTATTGCTGTTCCTGTGTGTGTTCCAGGCTGTGTCATCTGTGAAGCAGCCCAGGGCTGGGGCGTCCCCTTTGTGCAGTGTTTAGCGGGAGGTCAGGCTTTATCTTTAGGATCCAGGGATCACCCCACATCCCACCTAATGTGCCTTGGAGTGTCCTCTCCGCCTGCCCAAGATGCCACAAGGCCCTCCCTTGGTCCTAGAGCCAACTTTCCACAAAGTGCCAGAGGAAATGCTTCCAGCTTAGCAGGAGTGGGTATGGGGTTCCATGAGCTGGGCCAAGGACACTCTGCTCTGTCCTGGGCCCACCCGCGAGTCCCCTCAGCCACCCAATCAGCACTGTCTCAATGTGTGAAGATCGCACGCGTCCCCTTGCAGGGTGTCAGTGCGGCGAACAGGCAGCGCCTGTCGGTCCCCATGGTGCGAATGCCTGTGCTTGCCGTGCATGCGGCTCTGGGGCCAGGATGGAGGTAGCCCTGGGACAGCAGGAGGAGGCTTGGTGAGTGGAGGGCAGGGCTGGGTGCGCATCCCCAGGGATTCGTGGAGCTGGCACACATCAGGCCGGGGCTCTCCGTCCTCACAGCCCTGCTCAGGATTCAGGCAGGCAGTGCACATGGGTTGTGACCCGAGTCCTGAGGACGGGCCAGCAGGCCATGCCATCCACATGTGTGAGATCAGGGCCATTGGAATCAAAGTTCTAGGACAAGCCAAGTCGAGGCTCATTAAGAACCGGGAATGTGATGACCGATGATCACACGGGATCCAAGCCTGAACCAAGCGGTGCCGTGAGGCCCTAGTTGTTCAGTGTTGCTGTCACAGAGAGGTCGGGCCCATGGCGTTCGTGTCAGGCCCTTTGGAGGGACGGAACCTCCTAACTCTGTGGCGAAGAAGCCTTTCCTCAGCTAGTTTTTTCAGCACCCTTTTTGTGAGCTAGATTGGAGTAAGGGTACTGACTAATGTCACATTTGAGGCTGGGACCTATATGCTACCCAAACACTATTCGCTGACTAAAGACCGTCTGATTCATCCCTTTGAGGTTATTTGTGCCCCTGGGGCAAGGCTGGGCGGGCCCACACACTCTGGGTAGGAGAGGCCCTCGCCTGCCACTCAGCCTTGGCGGAATTGGCCCCTGCGCCCACAGGGGCCCTTTGTGTTTCTGCCTGCTCATAATGAAGAGGAAGTTGTTGGTGAGTTCAGTCAGTCAAATCAGAAGAAACACTGGGCAAACGTCTTCAAACATAAATTGTCAGCCACAGTGAGAGAAAAGGCAGGTGGCCTCTGTGTGATGGACGCTCCACCACCGAGCACGGTTTCTCCAGATCTGGTAATGTCTGGACCCGCAGTCACGCAAAGCCAGCGTCACTGAGCATATCCAGGGCAGAATAACGTCCTGAAAGCCTCCATCCTCGAACTGACAGGCTCTGCTCCAACACTCAGTGAAACCATCCACAGGAAATGCCCACGGGCTCGCCTCGGCTGCCAGACGCTAAACGAAAGGAAGAAAAATAAATGCAGCTGACCTGCTGGAAGTTTTATGTCTTGTCCAGTTACCTTTAAAACACGCATTGTTCCACTGGAACAGCAAGAACATGCTCTTGGCAGGGGACTTGTATTCTTGTATGGACCTCCCTGCTCTATAGAGGTTCATCAAATTTGAGCTTTTTAACTTCAGAATACTTTGATCACACAAGTTTATTCCTTAAATTCCTTTGTAGTAGGCACATCTACATCTCTTGCATAAAACAGCCTTCACTCTACAGCTTGGTGATTCACTGGTAAAGGGGATTGTGCGTTTTGGTTGCTGAACTGTCACAGGTGTCTTGGCCTCACTGGGTCCTGCCGCCCACGGTGGGTCCCGCCTACAGCCCCTCCGGAGTCCCTGTGTGCTTGAGCATGATGCAGCTCTTCCTTCTCTGTTTCTCCCCCACCCCCAGGGGCACACAAATGAGTTCAAACAAGTTTACGCTGTTGTTTTGCTCCAGGGTCCTGCTCTCAGCGCTGACCTTTAATCCAGGGGTATAAATCACTTTTCACTCCTATTATTTGTAAAGTCCCACAGCCTCACAGTACATAAAAGAGGCTTTTGTGTCACGTCAGTTGAGTTTTTAAGCTAGAGTTTCAAGCGCGTGGTGGGAACAGCTGACTCACAGGGTACCTCCAGGATCTGTCCCAGAGCCTTGGTGTTGGAGCGTTGTTGCTAGGTGTGCTCCCTGCCTGACAGTTCCCAGGTGCACATGGGGTGGTTCAGATGGGGCGCTGCCACGTACGTTCACTGTCCAGGGTCAGCTGAACAGCAGGAGGACGCTCCAGATGCACTCCTGTGACTGCTCTCTCAGGGACCGTGATGGAACTGTGAGGGCAGCTGCCACTGGCATTTCCGGGAGAAGCTTTTCCTCTTTCTCTTGGGATCTAAGGCACGTCTTCACATATGTCAAGGTAGAAAATGGTCCCTCATTCTAGTGTCGCTCAACTCACAACAGGGTTGCTATGGCCATCTGTCCCTGGATACTGTTCATCCTTCTGCAAGCTATGGTCATTCTTGGCACACTGACCCCGGGGGCCCAGGCCAGGCATTCCTTCCCAGCAACCTCGGCAGCCATACCCAGGTGTTCATGGGGGAGACCAAGTTGGGCTGAGCCCCAAGGACAGGCCCTGCTGCCCAGGACAGCAGTGCCAAAAGGAGCCTCAGCCCCTCTCAGGGCCCTCCCGCCTCCCAGGCAGCCAGTTGCCCTCTGGGTACTAAGCGTTGTCAAGGGAGGCTGCTCACTAAATACTGGCTAAACCTCGGGGTGAGCTGCAGTAATCTGCCTGCAAACACCCAGCAGCCTGTGACCGATATGTTTCACAGCCCCTGAGCCTTGGGCATTCCACACCCGCCCCTAGTACTGGTGGCTTCTGTTTGTGTCTCGGGCCAGTGGGTCCTACTTTTAATTGCAACCCCGGGACCTGGACTACTGGATGTTTTGTACTGTATGTAATTGGATGGGGGTCACTGAACACCCTTAGATATAGCAGTCTACTAATCTGGAAATAATTTGAATCAAGGTTGACGTTACCATGAACGCTGTAAATGTTAACTTGATAGAAGCTGTGACTGAGATGCCTTCAGCAGGTTAAGAGTTGTGACTTACTTGCTTTGCCCACTGACAATTTTATTGATTTTGTAGGAAGAAGGTGTTTTATGTATTTACTGGGAACTGGAGGTCGGGAGGTAGTACTGAGCCTGGGAAATGTCAAGGTCCAAAGTGGGACATGGCCTGGATAGGTGACTGACCGTGGGGCGGTTTTGGTGGGGCCCACACCCCGGGAGCACGCAGAAGGGCCAGCCCCATCAGACCAAGGCCAAGACCATGAAAGGTGGGGGTGCAGCCTCAGGGTCAGCTATGGTCATTGCTGTTACAGCGGAGAGCTCTTGAATGGCAGTGCCCAAACTTGAACCCAAGTCCAAATCACTCCCTGCCCTTTATATAGACCTGTGTTGCCGACCCTCTTGAAGCACCCACTTCCGGCTTATGTGATCCTGAGCAAGTTACCTAACTGTTCAAATTCTGTTTTCCCAACTTTAAATTGATAACAACCCCAGGGTTCTCAGGCAAATTACTGATGTCTAATTTAATTCCTTTATTGTCAGAGTATGTGACTTGAATCTTTTCAGATTTATTCAGACTTGTTTTATGGCCCCGAATATGGTCTATCTTAGTGAATGTTCCATTTTAACCTAAAAAAGGAATGTATACCGTATGTTCTATAAATATTCAAGTTGATCTGTGGTGTTTTTCAAGTCTTCTATAGCCTTACTTATTTTTTACTTATTCGTTTCATCAAGTATCGAGAGAGGGTGATTGAAATCTTTGACTAGAATTGTAGATTTGTCGTATCTACTTGCAGTTCTATCCGCTTTTGCTTTGTGTATTTTGAATCTGTTATTAGGTACATAAATGCTTGAGTGTTGTGACCTTTTGATGAACTGACCCCTTTAGCATTATGAAATGACCTTTTATTCCTGATATTATTTGCTCAGCAGTCCCTTTGTCTGATATTAATATAATGACTAGTTTTCTTTTGACTAGTATCTGCACAATATGCATTTTTCCAAGCTTTAACTTTTAACCTACATGTGTCTT